TTAATAAAAGCTTATTTAAATTTAAACGTGCTCATATAGTTTGATATTTAAATCATATATAAATCATATTTTTATTTTATTTTTATTTTACTTCTTCCTTCCAAAACTAATACTTTTATAGCTAAAATAAAATAGAATTTTTAGATTTCTTGACAGGTACAAAAACATTTTTCTGAAGTAACACCCGAATAAGTTAATGAAGCTTTTCAAGTTAACAATAAATTAGTTTACTTGTCAAAGACCTGCTATTCTTATCTAAAACTTACTTTGCCTTTTTTGATAATCTAAGATGAACATCTAGGTAAGCCTTTACGTCATAATGATTAGTTAGCTCAAACGTAATATGCTAACCTTTTTTGTTAAATTTTAGCTAAATATTCAGATAAGCCTTTACATCGTAATAATTGGTCAACTTGAACGTGACGTGCTAATCTTGATAGATGCTAATCTTCTTTTTTTCTTTTCTGCATTGATATTCTTAAACAAAAATTTTTTCTTGTAGTCTCTTTAAAATGATTAAAATGATTCTAAAAAGAAATTAATGAAGTTAAAAAGAAGGTTCGACTTCTTGAGAATGAGCTTTACAAAATTAAGTTTACTGTCACAGTTTTGTATAAAGTTAAAAAGAATATCTTAAATACTGCAAGTCCTGTTTTTAATGAAATATTTTCTCTTTTGAAAAGCAAAACACTAATATTACTTGATAGTTTAAATACAATAAGTTTACCACAGAATTGTAAGAATAAAGATGAAGTGCAAAAAAAATTCATAAAGTTTTTCAACTCTTTAGAGTAACAAATTAAATGTAATATTATTAATATGTTAACTTCAAACTAGCTTAAGGGCCTTATTAGAAAGATTAATATTTCTATGGTTGATGGATCACAAGTTTTGTGAGCTCATCTTGTGTTTGAAATTGAGATCAAATATTCACTAAATAATATTATCTTATATCACGAGACAATCAGATAACTCGTAAACTATTTTAAACTATTTTCTGAATGCAACGTACATGACATTTTATTATTAGCGCTATTTTTTATAATAATCTTATAGAGTTTATATACACTAATTCTAAACTTAAACTTAAATGTTCAGGCTTATTGAAACTCAGTTTTACTAAATAGACAATAAGAATGCAAATACTACTAAACATGTTGAGTTATCAATATCAGCTTAACTACTCTCTACCTAAAGATTATGAAGTATTGATCAGTATTGCAGGCTTTACCTATGAAAGCGTTCTTCAACAAGCAGATAACAGACAAGGATCATTTATTTTCTCTAGCTTTATAAATTCAAAAAAAGATATTCTTAAGATCTCTATAGATCTCAATAATAAGATAAAGATGCTTAAGATTCTTAAAATCTATGAGTATATTTTCAAGTCATTAACAAAAGGTTACTTTCAGATAGTAGAATATATGTTTTAATTTTTATGTGAAATCATCAAAAGTATTTTAATTGATCATTTTCATATAGGTTTATTATAATGATACTGGCTGGTATACATCTCAAAGTCAAAAAGTACAGTGTAAAAGGAACTTTAAAAGTTTTGCAAGATGTTGAAAAGCTTTAAGTTTTCTTATGATCATCACATTTATCATTATGGTATTTCATATTTAAATATTGTATACAAAAATCAAAGAGGCTATCTTATAAATTAGGGTATAATATCAAATATTTCTGACTTAATAAATGTTTTATTAATCAGAACTTATCTATTTTCTTCTTTTCTAGTATATTTATTCATTTATTATTTGTGCAATGATATATGGAATTTCATATCATTTCAAATTTAGGTTTTGATGAGTTTTGAATCTAGAGTTCCTCACACATATTCGGTTAATGATGAAATTGAATCCTTATTCTATATATTTATGTATATAGCTTATGATAGAGTTGTGTACTAGTGAAAGTATTCAGATTTGTTAACAAGTGTCGCAATAAAATATAATGTAATGATCTGCCTATTTCAATTTAAAAGTTACTTGGTCAAATATGCTTATGTTGAATTTCACGAATATTTATTAAAATTTTATGACATTATTTTTTCATATGGTAATGATCTTGAAAAAAAGATATCAATTGATAAAATTATTGAAATTTTTAGAGATTGGATAAATGAACTTTAATAGATATTATTTGTAATATTATTATTTAATGTCTTTATAGTAAAAATATATATAATAATTAATACTATATATGTAAATAAAAACATATGCAACTTTTGTTATATTAAAATATTCAATCATTAGCATAACTACTAATAAATAAATACATGAATTTTATTACAGATTATTTAGTAATGACAGTCTATAGAATTTATATTTGTGATGTGACTAGATCAGTTTATGTAACATATTAATTACTCATAATTGAAATTAAGTTATCAGCACTTCTATTTTTTTCTGAATATAAGTAAGTATTGGATACGCTAAAAAAACTTATCAAAGAATTATCTGAAATATTTCAGGATTCTGAAGTTATAAAAGAGGGAACTAAGGATTTTTTTGATTTGTATAATACAATTATTGATATGGAAGAGCAGGAAGAAATTGCAAAACAAAATGTTATCAAATTATATTATAATTTTAGAAAAGTACTTGAGGATCATTATGATCATTATAAGAAAAATAATTCTAGACATTGATAAATAAAGAAGTTTAAAATTAGCTTTCAGATTCAGTGATGACCTGCTTCAAAAGAAAAAAAATGGGCTTTAAAGATTTATGATCTCTTAAATGAAATAAGCGAACATATGATTTAAAGGATAAAATTTTTCTCAATAACATCTATATCAAAATTAAGCTAAGATGATATTGATCATATCTTAATCAGGTTTTGTAAAATAATATTTATTGCATTACATAAATAATGTAAACTCAGTTCACATTCTCAAAATTTTAGCTGTATATAATAATAAAGTTCGCTCATATCAGACAACTCTTTTAAAACTATCGAAGAACTAGTAGAAAATTAGGGAGACTTGCAAGAAACTATATTTCAAGTGACTAAAATTCTAAAAATCTAAGTAAACATCTCACTAATGAAATTTTTGACTTACTTTTTTTATTTTTTATATATAGCATACAAATATTACATATATATCATACATATACTATACTATAACATATATATATCATAAAGATAGCATAGAAAAATTTGATTTTTTTTTCTAAAATTTATTACTCTTTTATTAGTAACTAAAGTTACTAGATGAAACTTAGAAGCTTTGCAAATTGTTTAAAAAAAAAAGGTAAAATTTAGTGAAATTATATTAAAATCTTATTAAAAAATTTGCGAAATTCTAGAAAAGGTAAAATTATATCAAAAGCAGCAGGAAGTGCGAGCAGACTTCTTATTTTTCACCTTAAGGGCTTAAGAATGATAGTTTTTAAAATATGTAGTCAAGCCATTCCTTTGCTAACTAAAATAAATACTTATTAATTCGCTATTCTAAAACTCTCAAAATATAGTTTTACTATTGTTAACATGTAATTCTTACAAATTACGACTGTTAAATGGGGTGTTTAAGCGGTTTATTCTTTTTAATTGAGCAGTAATTGTTTAACAGTTTACAAGCTTTAACTCAAATGATTTATCAAAATATTTATATTATTACAATAAGTTATAATTCAACAGGTTGCTAGTAGTATATAATTGTAAATATTGTGTTTATTCACAAGTAAAATAATAATAAAGATGAATAAAAAGAAGAAAAGTAAAAGAAAATAAAGAAAAAAAATAAGAAAGAGAAAAGAAACAAAATACTAAAACTAAAAGGTGACGTAGTAGGCCAGTTGCCTTTAAAACTACTAAAACTATCTTGTTAAATTCTCTATCTGTCTCATGAACTAGAAGCTACCTATTTATATAAAATAACTTACATAGAAAAATATAACTAACATGTCTAATATACCAACTATATCTAATATATCAACTATGTTAGCTATGTCTAATATGTTAACTATGTTACATATATCACATATGTCTGACATATTGTATATGTCAATTATGTCAAATTAGTTGATCTTTTACGCCACATGAGTTGCATTATATTTATCCGTTCACATTATATCAATAAAAATTGTATTCTTAAAATATACTTTAACTCTCTCTCTCTCAATAAAATTACTAATTTATTTTCTTACCTTTGTGCACCTTCTCAATTATAATTCTGTTATAATAAAAATTTACATTTAGTAAAGGATATGTGCAGACTGGAATAAATTGTTCATAAATCTTAAGGAGATGAGTGTATAAATAGTATATCTTAGCCCTCTTTCACTCATTAAAATCATAATTTGTTTTCTTACTTATATATGGCTTTCTGATCACAATTTTATCATAATAAAAATTTACATCTAAAAATTTACAACTAGTAGATATAATAAAATTTACACTTAGCAGAGACATAAGCAGACTTCTTCTTTTTTCACCTGAAAGTTTAAGAATAATAATTATCAAAATACATAGTTCAGATGTTTTATAGCTCAAGAATGATAGTTATTAAAATATGTGGTCCAAGTATTTCTTAGCTCTCAAAATATAGTTCTAGTATATCAATAAAATTTATATTCTTAGAACATACCCTAACTCCTCTTACTTAATAAAATTACTAATTTATTTTCTTGCCTTTATGCATTTTTCTGATTATAATCTTGACATAATAAAAATTTACACTTAGTAGAAAGTGTTTGCAGACTGCTTTATTTTTACCTAAAAGCCTAAGAAGATGAATGACAAATATTAAATTTCAGCTTACTTTTCTCATTAGAATCATTAATTTACTTTTTTGCTTGTGTATGATTTTTGATTATAATTCTGACATAATAAAAATTTACACCTAGAAGTATAACCTTAGGTAAAAAAAGGTTATTATGGTATAAAAAAAAATCAGAATAGCATGATATAAAAAAAATGGTTAGCATGATGTAAAAAAAAATTGGTTAGCAAAATGTAAATAAAAACTTATCAGCCAAGATAATCTAGCTCTACTAATCTTCAAAGGGATCAATACCTATATCCTCATCATTCAAATCATAAATCTGAGCTTTAAGAATATTACTAAAAGTAACAATTTTGGATTGAAGGGTCATAGCCTTATCATCAGACTCAAAAATTAGAGCTTCATCTTCAGTATCTTTTGATTCTTCGTCCATGATTGAAGCAATAGTGCTGGTCACCTGTAGTGCTTTAATCTACTGTAAATCCTGCTCTTCTGCTTCTTCAGTTTTATTTGCTAACAGTTTTAAAAGTAATTCATCAATTTTCATCTGAATTAAATCATCAGAATTAGCTTTAGTCTGAAGCCTATTAAAATATTAGGTTACATAATAGATACCAGAATGCTTTTTATAAAGGCCAGGTTCAGAGCTAGTCAGCTTGCTATAAACCTTTTTTTTCTCATAAATTTGAAAAAAAACCTAACAGGATATGCTATTAGGCTAGGTTATCTCTCACTAATTGATAAATCGAGAGAGAAATAATTAATTATTTTTTGAACAAAAGTTTTTACACTATTAATACAAATAACTGAATTAATTTACTTACTATCAAAAATGGTACTTTAATATTCTTGATATGAAAAGAATGACTTTAAAAAGACTCGTAATTTAACAAATTATCTTAACAGAAATTTAAGTATAAGCAAACCCAATTACCAGTACCTAGCTCTCTATCTCCTATAGTTCATGTTCGTAAAAAAAATCAAAGAAAAGAAAAATCACAAGAGAAAGCCACTCAATTATCTATAGAGAATTTAGCTAACTGGCTAGAAAATCCTGAGATAAAAACAACCCAACTATTATTAGTAAAAATATTCTGAAAACAAATGCAGAATAATTTGATTTGATGAAAAGCCAAGCTAAAAGAAAATCTTCTAGTAAATAGCAAAAGAAAGTTCAAGTTTTTAACCAATGGAAGAGGATTCTAAAACAGAATCCAGTCTGACTGCTTAAGCATATAGAGAAGGGTAAAGGGATGATTCTGAAGAAGATTCAAAGTATCTAAATAAAAAAGTATCTTAGCTGGTTTCATTTCCAGATAATAAAAAGCATTAGGAATTGTGGCAAAAGGAAATTCAGATAGCAAAAAACATGTTTAAAGTAGATGGTGCTGAATATACATTTTGACTTAGTTTGTAAATTATATTTTACATAAAGATATCAGAAATATATTATTAATAGCTAAAAGTGAAGAAGAAGTTGTGATAAAAGTAAAAGAGGAATATTTATGTAGAGAGTGGCATACTGATACTGAAGGTGTAAAGAAATCACTACAGGAAGAAATAAAAGTATTAATACAAAAATACAAGGCAAAAGATAAAGGAAGTTCAGAATGGATAGCATATCTGAAACATAGTTTTAAAAGATCAGAAAATTATGAAGCTGAGATGGCTAAAGAGCATGCTAAGAAGATTTTAGATGCAATAGATGATGATAGATTTCTTATAAAAGTAAAATTTATTCAGGAAGATAAAGATTATTTCAAAATTATTGATAAATATGAGTCCATTTGTGAATCAAAGAGAGCTGGTAAGAAATTTGTTCTAGGAGGTCCAAATGTTATCCTTATAAAGAAAACAAAGTCAAACTTTTGGGTAGAAATTGACAAAAAATTTTTAGTTAGGATCATTCAAGGTGAAAAAGAATCAGAATATAGAGAGCTTGATATAAATGAGAACTAAACTATTAAATCACCTTATGAGATAAGAAATTGATTTAAGTAAATAATAATTAAAAAAATGCTACACAACAGTAAACATTTTCAACCAATAATAAATTGTTCTATTTTTAAATATTAAGTCAAATTAATTATTAAGACAATACTAAAAT